ACACACACAATATATATTTTATAAACCGTACTTGCTTTTCGTAACGTCGTACAATACACGGTTACACGATGATGAACAAGTAAGAACTAGTTTCTGTGATGTGTACATTTCGACACTAGCCGGCTCGGTGGTCGGAAGGTTTTCTTTTACAATAACAATAATAGGCATCCCTTGTTGTGTAAAACATTAAAAAAAGTATACAAGTAAAATTGTTATCAGTAATTTACATTTTTTTTTTCCCCGTATGAAAATAAATCCTAAAGTCCTAGCAGCAATCCTGCTCGAATTCATCCGTTCAACCGCTATTGGCTGTAGGGACGACAATGAATAATGGTTTTTTTATAACTAAAAAAAAAAAATAGGTAAATACTACGTAAATCCATTAACTAACTCTGTCTTATGTTGTATACCCCGAAAAATAAAATAAAATCCATAAAGCGTTATAAATTTCAATAATATTAAACTGTAGGTTTTTTACTGTAAAATTTAAAGTTCCATAGGCGGTCCTTAATTCAGTAGACAACTTAATCTTTCTTGAAAAATATTGTTGTTATTTTCTTTGTATGTACAATTTTTACTAGACATCCCAACTATAGATTTCATAATTATTATAATAAGTATAAGGTTAGGTTAGTTGCCCATAAATTTAATATTCTTTTTTAATGATTATCGTGAAAAATATTGTACAAAATATACTTGTATAAGTTCTGTAATTTCCCCAAACAAAACGGACGTTTCAACAACTATTTGTCTGTTTGTATATAAATTATGTGATTTGTTTTAATTTCCTATAAAAAAATTAAAAATTCAACGATTGAACTCTGTTGACAAGAATAATGGTGATAGTTCTTAACTTATTCATTATACAATACTGTTTATACCTACTTTACAGCGTTGGGCAAAAACATTTAAAGCAAGACTTTTAAAATCTTAAAGTTTGATTACATTACATTAAACATACTATGTTTCTCATTTGTGTACCATATTAGTTAGGTACTGTTTTATAATGTATGATGACGAACCCCGGTGATCATTTTTTAAGCCATATAAGTAATTAATCTATTATTTATTATTTTTTGTTTTTGTATCTCTTGTAAATACGTTCTCGAGCTGTCTGTATATTTATAAATATATATACAAATATACATATATATAATTGTCAAAATAAATTGTTAACGCAAAATTTCATAATAATAAAAAAAAAAAGTAATTAAAATAATATTAATATTAATAGGTACTATTAAATATTAATAACACTACAATATACAATATTTTTTTATAATACTCTTTGTATTTGGGTACTTAAATAATATTATATTGTTTACAAATCTAAGTAGTAATTCTGACCGCATTTTTTTGACATGAAAACCCTAAACTTATAAAAATGTTCTCTTAATTATTTATACATTTTTTTATTCACCTGTGAAGTCATAGAGATTTTTTCTTCGTTCCAAAATTGTTTAGTATATTATATCATTATAATATAATGTAATAAACTGTACATGTAATTACACGTCGTACATTTACAGCACTGTTACGGTTTACGTAATAAGTTCTTAAGTAGGTGTATGTATTCAATATCTTTATAACGCTGTCATTTTGAATACATTAACGTTAGTGTAATGTTATAGGGGATACAATTATTGTGTTTCTATTGTTTGTACTTGTCGCACTTGCAACCCAGGAAAACTGTGTTTTCATTATCTACCCACAAAACATGACTGCGGTGTGATTGTCCAAACATTAACAGTTAAATAGATCAAAACAATATTGACAAACAAATCAAATGTATGCACGTCTCTCCGTGACAGTAACCAGAGGTACTATTCGAAATTTAAGACATATTCATCAAAGACGATGTCGTTATTTTACAAGACAAATTAAATCTCTTAAATCTAGGTTAAAACTAACCTAGACTGCTGTTAATAAACATATTAATTTTAAAGTCAATAAATACTTAATTTTAACAAAAACAATTTTTTTTATTAAAATTGAATTTAGAAATTATAACTGTTATTATTTCTACAGTATTATTGTCACATTGTACATTAACGTGGCGCACTCTACTGGATTTCCAACAAAACTATTTGAGGCCTTGCGTACATAGATGGCGCAAACGGTTATCAACTTGGAAAAAATTTTCAAAATTTGTTTTCAAAAAAACCCGTATAAATACCTACCATGTCTTTTTATCAAGAGTAGAGCATTTTTTTTTCGTTTAAGCTTTTTGGTCGCTTTTGACCGATACCGGTTTCTAAGCTCAATAATAACTATGGCCCCAATTACCACATTAAAAAAAAAAAAAAAACTAAATGATTATGTCAACGCGAAGAAGAGCTGACGACACTTAACAAGACAGTGATTACATACTTTGGATAATTTGTTTATACCGGGTGATTCTTTTAACGCCCTACACTAGTTTACTCTTGAAATAATTACAAACTTGTAGTGGGTTTTTTTTTAAAAGTATTTTTGATTATGCTATATATTACTATATGAGAAAATATTTAAATTTTTATCTTTTTTTAGTATTTTCTTCAGCTTTTGAAACTTTTAGTAAGCTAGTGTAGAGCGTTGAAAGAATCATCCGGTATATTTTGATCATTCTAGTAAAAAAAATGTATTAAACTGTATCATGTATTGTTATTATTTATTTTTCTCGATTTTGCTAAAGTTTATTGTTTATTTCACTATGATATTTAATATGCTTGTTTGATGAATGCGCTCAGCCGCACTACCGCTGGTTTGCCTGTTCAAAATAGCTATCGCCCATTTTGATAACCATTAAAATATGGAAATGATTAATCATCAATATCGACGGCAAATTATATTATAATATTACAATAAAAATTGGTTGGCTACAAAATTCATAACGAATAAACTACTCTGATAGAAACTAGGCAAACGATTGTCGTTTTAACAAAAAAAAGAACTTCATTCTAAAAAACGTGCAAACACATTTATTTTTTTTAAAAAATATGATTTTGGAAATATTTTTGATACTTAGCGCTGTGGTGGTCACCGTATCGCTTATCGTCTTGGTACTGGACCCGGCCGAGTCGAACAACAATGCACCGGTAAGCGTGACGCGGTGGGCCCGGTTGCGGCAGCTTCGGGACGCGACCAGGCCGAAAAAACCGGCCGCGTCCAAACAAGTCATTTTGGCCATGGCCCAGACGTCCGTTTACGCTCTGGACGACTATTATGGGACGTACGAAAACGAGAAAGAAGTACGGGACGCGATCATCGCTTCGGCCGCGGAGCTGGACGGTTACCGGGCTCGCACGTTGCTCATGGTGTCGACCATTAATACGTTTTTCGACCAGCTGGAAAAAGTGACAGACGCTTGCCAGGTGTGTTTCCCATTTGTACTTGCCCAAGTTCAGATGTCTCAAAATAATTTTAGGGGAATAAAATATTTATAGGTTTAATTCTAAAATTACACTTATCAATTGCTATTATAAACAACAATAGATCATCAAAATACATACATAATAGTATAAAAAAAATGCAAGGAAACACATATGTGTTATAAGTTAATATTTTAAAAGCTATTTTTCCTTGATTTTATAATGACAATTATTTGTATAATATCTGACCGATTAATGGATTTGAGTAATTTTTCTTCAATATTCAAAATTGAAAGAAATGTTAGTTTTTTCGTCAGTTAAAGATGACCCTAATACCTAATTATTGTTCTAGTTCGTCTACACTTTTTGGACCATTATCGTTTACTTCCGTATCCGTGTATGATTTATATAAGATACATTATTATTTAATATTAGTAGTACTCGTGGTTAATGTTTTGAAATATAAATTGGTATAATATTGCATTCATTTACGTTCCTAGAGTTTGTAACAGTACAACAACTGTTAATACTTCTATATACTTAATTTGACGCTCCCCCCCCCCCTCTGCAATGTTGTGATACTAATGTCCTTTGGGTGGTCGTGGCTAAAGGAGAAAATCTGCGAGTTCACCGACGCTCTTAGTGAAGTGACGGAGGCGCGGATAATGATGGAAGCAGAAGTGTACAAGCAACCGTGCTTGGAGGAAGACGGCCAGAAACCGACGGCCGAGTCTAGAGACCCGTGCTTCCTCGAAGCACGGCCTATGCCACCGGTAGTGTGTCCGGAACTCAACAGCGATGACAACGACATGTTAGGGACGTACGTCGAGTTTGTCGAAGAAAACGTCGAGCAGGTCATGAAAGAAGAAACCGCAGAGGCGCCTTCGACTCGTTCGCCGGTGGCGGTTAATTTTTCAGAGCAGTCCATAATGATACAGTCTGACACGGACGAAGACGAGTCCGGCTGATTTCACGGTGGTTTGTAAAACGATTAAAGTGACATGCTTTAGTTTTATCTGTACGTGTACTTTCTTATTGTTTCGAAGGATTCAAACGTAATTTTCATATTATATTTTTCACATAGTAGATGTCCTAACATTAAAAAAAAAAAAAAAAAACAGTACAGTGGGACATAGTGGGGACGGCGAGATCACATGTGGTCTACATGAATTATTTTAACCGAAAGTGATAAAGTAATTCGTTTCAACAAACGCTTCAAACCAGTACAGTCAAAACCTTGCAAAGTAAGAAATAAATATAGAAGTAGTCAGTTTTTGGCCCGATAAAATAGACATATTCAATGCTATTGCCGGTTTACATGCACATTTTTTTTAATTTCTAAGCCTTATAGAATCTACAAAAATATTGTAAGTCTGAAAATATTTGGTAAGGGATTTATTAAGAAAGTACATTAAATTTAAATATTAAAACTGTACATTTTAGTTGGTATAAGTTCTAATTTTCATGTTTGATAATGTTCATTTTTTTATTGTGTATCTTTTACTAATGTAAAACTAAATATTACCGTGTAATATTTAATATAGCATCGCAAGCTGGAAACGTAAACAATATAAAAGTATTTTATAAAAAAAAAAATGAACAACCAATAATAGCTATATTAGAGAATTGATTTATTAAAAAGTATCGTTTCTATAGTTAAAATGTCTGTAAAGATTTTACGGTTCGAGAAAGTTATATCATCATTATATAAAAACAAAATAATACACGACTTTCTTGTTCTCACTAATTATAAAACTAGTACATAATTATTATAATAATAAAATAAATAAAATGACACATTATATTAAGTAAAATGAAGACAAAATATCACAAAATAGAAAAAGTAAGGCGAAATAAATATCTATATATATATATATGTAAAAAGGTAATTTAGTCAATAATAAGAACACCCAGCACGTTTGTATGGCATTACTCTCGGAAACACAAACGTCAGGTTTTGCAATATGCAAAAACTAATAATTAATAACATATATTTTTCAAAAAATATACATTCCCATTAGAAGTTTAGGGAGCAAAACGTAATACTGTTGAGCATAAATGTTCGAGAATATTTCGCTGTGTCATTCGTAAAATGAAATATGGAATGTTCTGACTCTCGAAATCATTTTTTTGACGTTTAAAGAATAAAAGAAGAAAGGTTGAAAAAAATATTACATTTTCTCTGTAATTACAATCCGACTGTCCGCCGGACGAGCAGCCTTTTTGTTATTAAATTCTCGTCTCTGTTTAAGTCCTTCGACACTGTGGTCCAGACTGTAAAACACATAAATGACTAGACCTAGGAACAGCCAAATGCCGAAACGCACCCACGTCTGAACGTCCAACTTCATCATCAGATAAACGTTTAAGACGATGCTCACGCACGGAATTAGAGGAACTAGAGGCACCTGTGGAACACGAATAGGTATACAATATTATAAGCTACCAGACTCGGGAAACACAATATTCGTCAACTCTACTACATACTTTAAACGAAAGTTCTTTTTTCGACTGTGGTTGTCTGGACAGCGATAGCATGATCAGTAAAAGCCAACCGCCCAAGAACATACTTGTGTACCGAAACAAGTTATTGCTATGTTTTGATTCTTCTTGTTGTACGACGGAGAAACAAAATAGCGTTGAAACGGCGACTACACAATAACACAACAAGTTAACACACAGCAACGTCATTAACAATAAGTGCAGAATAATAAAAATGTAAATAGAGATTTTTATTCGAACATTTTTTCTGTATAATCTATTTTTTTGTTTGTTGTCTACCACCACTCTCCTAAATAATTTGTTATTTTTGTGTAACCTCCCTGCAGGGTACATGTATAAACTAGCTGTGCATTTCAAAACATAGTATCTACTTTCTGACCGGTCGCCAGTAAATTATGTGATATTATATTATGAGAGCTAAGTAAATACCGAAATTTAATTAAAATAATACACACCGTTGCCAACAAATAAAACCCGTGTATTTACTACTCATAAATAACATTATACGTACATATCAAAACAGCCGTATAATAATCAAAATGTCTGTTACTTGGCCTGAAGTTAAAGTCTGTTTTCCTATGGTAGTTGTCTTACTTCCGACCAGGGGGACACAGAACGAGGCACATCTGCCACCCGTATACTTACCTAAGTTGGCTGTTTAAAAATCTACCACCGGGTCAGGGTTAGAGGAGTTAGGGTAGGTCACACAAAAAATATAATATTGTTTTACTCGGCTTTTCACTCTACGATAAAGGTGTAAAATGAATGGTCTTACAAATTTGTAAATCTCTAAGTACAATTACACAATTGGTACCTACTGTAACACAGCGTGTTCGCCGTGGATATGTATTCCGTCTCTTCGTTTGGGTACTTAGTGTTGGAAAAATTAAAGAACTTGACTAAAACTTTCACGACCGACACAACCGGTCGGTCGCTACCTTTGTCATTTTCTGCTGGGATAACGAAATCGACGGACGTGCTCTCCTTATACCGCAGGATCAGCACACAAATACATACTATGGTGTACGCCAACAGAGTCCCAATAGACATCATATCTATCAATTGTTCGAGATTGAACACCGCCGCCATGATACCTGCAATTATAAAAAAAAAAATGTCTTATTTCAAACCTCCAATGTAATAATTAAATCGCATTCAACTTGCTGGCGTTTTATACATGAATATATTTACCGGCTAAAATACCAGACAAGATGGTGGCCAACAGAGGCGTTTGGGATTTCGGATGGATATCCGAGAACATGTTGAATAACAAACCGTCGCAAGACATGGCGTACAAAATTCTCGGCAAAGGAAACATGGTACCTATTAAACTGTGAAAACCGTATAAGACAATATTCGATTTATGTACGACCACGGAAGTGTTGAAGTATTATAAGTTTGCTTACCTCGTGCACAAAGCAAATATAGCGCCAATTGACACAATCCATTTGACAGTTGGCCAACCGACGTGGTCGTACACATAAGGGAAAGGTGCGTCGGGATCCTATTAAAAAACAACCAGAAGGAAACGTTTATTTTTTATAAAAACCTAATAGAAGCTAATGGTTTTAAAACATGCAAACTATCCATCCAAATTCAGATCAATAAAGTACAGACGTAGCTTGAAAATTGGATAAGTACGTGAATCTGCCAACATTGTTTCATATTACCTGATCATAATACGGCCACATCAGAGTTAATACCGTACTAACGCAACAGTAGGCTAATGTAATGATTGACAACGATAGAACAATGGCTAATGGAATGTCACGTTTTGGTTTCTTCGCTTCTTCGCCTAAAGGGAGAACAAAAATTCAAATTATAAAATTCGGTGTGTTTATCGGGTAGGCATTATTGTATTGTTGTGTTAAACAAATAAAAACTGACCTGTGGTGGCAACGGTATCGAAACCGATGAAGCCGTAGAAACATTTGGCGGCACCTGCGGTAACACCAGCCCAACCGAAAGGCATAAATCCGCCTTCCCCGCCTTTCACTCCTTTTGGAATATTTTGCTTAGGGATATTCCAGTTATAAACGTTAACTGTTGGCGAACAAAATCAATACGTTGGGAGATAATAAGTATTTTAAGTTCATAATCGGACCGACAGTTTACAACTTACTTTTGAATAAACCTGTAACAACGACGGTGCCCACTGTCAACAAATTAACTACGGTAAAAATGTTGTTGATGATTGTAGACTCACGAACACCCCATGCTAATAAAACTGTAACACAAAAATATTAACATAAGTATCTCGTTAATTGTAAAAAATATTAAACCTACAACAAAATACATAAACTTTAATTTGCTTTAAAATCCATATTGTCTACGAGTTGCAAAATAAAATTTGTCTATATCTCTTTCTGGAGCATAATAAGTCACATTAATATTATTTTATAATTATGTTTGAATGCTAAATCGACGAACAATTTTTGAACTGAAGTTTGGATATCATAGTGAAAAGATTGTTGGACACTGTTGTCCTATTAGTCTGCTCCCTACTTTCTCTAAAACCCTGGAAAAAATAATTTTAAGAAGACTAAATCCATTAATCAATGGAAAAAAAATCATCCCAACGCCCAATTTGGCTTTAGAATTAAGCACTCTGCGATACATCAAATACACAGACTAGTTGATAATATATCCACATCCCTTGAACAAAAACAATTTTGCTCAGGAGTGTTCCTTGATGTCGCTCAGGCTTTTGACCGTGTCTGGCACGATGGACTCTTGTTTAAACTTCTCTTTCTTCCATCCCCTCTATTTCTCACTTTGAAATCCTTTCTCACAAATCGAACTTTCGTGGTAAGATGCGTAGATGAACTCTCCAATACCCACCCTATAGGAGCTGGCGTACCCCAAGGCAGTATTTTAGCTCCGACCCTATATAATCTTTATACAGCTGACCTACCACAATCCAACTATACTAACCTAGCCACTTTTGCCGATGACACGGCAATTACCTCTTCTAGCTCTGACATTCTCTCTGCAACTGAAAACCTCCAAGAACACCTGCTAAAACTTCAAGAGTGGTACAACATATGGAGAATAAAAATTAATGAAACTAAATCCACCCACATAACCTTCACTCTTAGACCTAAAAACATACCCCCTCTCTTCCTAAATAATCAAGCTCTTCCCATAGATGACTCTGTGAAATACCTAGGTGTTCACCTGGATAAGAGTCTTACTTGGGCAACCCATATTAAGACCAAAAGAAAATCGCTAAACCTTACACTTCACAAGCTTAGACATCTCCTTAAATCAAAAACTTCGCTAAATAACAAAATATTAATTTACAAACAACTCTTACGTCCAGCAACGACCTACGGTATTCAAGTCTGGGGAACTACTAAAATCTCTAATTTAAACATCCTTCAATCTTTTCAATCAATAAGCCTACGTCTCATCACAAACGCCCCCTGGTATGTAAGTAACCGAACCCTACACAATGACCTCAACATACCAATGCTAACATCCCTTGCTTCCTACCACTATAAAAAATTCCATACAAACGCTCTCAACCACTCTAATCCTCTTATATATAAGCTAGCTTCTCTCACAATTCCCGAAAATCCTCCTCGCCGACTAAAACGGAACTGGCCACGCCACTTAACATACAATTTAAAAAAAATATATGAAAAAGTACTAATCCCTTAAACTGAAAATTTAAATTCCTAATTGGAAGTAGTGTTAATGGACGCTCCCTTTTTTCACGTCGTCTTGTCTAGTTTCTATTTCAGCTCTTTTACCTATTGTTTTATTGTATACAGGTTGTAAATATTGTTTTATTTTAATAAAAAAAAAAAAAAAAAAAGAGAATATAATAATATATTATAAATAAACATAATATATTTTGAAACAAAGACCGTTAGAATTCAAATACTTACTTGACAGTAGTAGAACAATACTGAATGCCAAAAAGTCTGGATATGGTGCCATAAAGCTGATATTAATTGGAAACAAGTTGATCATTGCATTTTTCATTTGGTATCCTATTAGTGCGTCTACGTAATTACTTAGGCCCTTCGCCACGCTTGCCGTGCCTTCAAAAAAAAAAAAAAAAAATAGAATAAACGGTTATATTGATTCATTCGTTTTTTTATCATAAGTAATTATAAGGGAAATTAGGCTACTATGTTTAATGTTTTGGTATGTCAGCGATAAAATGTCTTGCATCGAAACTAACGAATCTAATCTGGTGTTTACTTATAAAGAATTTATTTAATCTGCAATCAGTTTAAATACACGTGAGAGTAATGCTCGTCTTAATGCTTAAATTACTTAAATCGCTCTTCTTTGTTAAAAAAAAAACGTACTATGTACTTGTGCAACGTTTTGTATGTTAAAATATTATCATTTAAGTATAATTTTTGTTCGTAAATAGTAATATTAGTATAAATTACTTATATGTTATGCTATCTATGAAACTAAACGATAAATCTATAGTGACTGGTTTATCAATTGATCAATATTTATTTCTTAAGCCTAACTATAGTTGGGTGTTTTTTTATTAAACTTCATGTTTTATAATTAAAATTTGGTTTTTTTTTAATAGCATCTTCCAATAGATCGTTAACATGATATTGTGGTCCCTTAGAAAAAATTAAAAAATTAATATTTTTTTACCATTACCTAGATCTATAATCAATGTATACTATTGTACAGCGTGATTTCTTTAACGTAAGACATTGATATATTTTTAGATTATTGCAATTTTGTAATTTTTCTTTTCGGACATTCTTTAGTTTATGTTTATTTATTCACGCTATGAAGTCATTATGGACATCACGAAGACAGTATATACTAATATATGTACACACAGCAAATTAATTATGTAGATCTCAAACGCATCCGAATTAAAAACAAATTTGGCGAGACTCGTTCAGTCCGGGCCCTAATTGGTAATTGACTATTATTATTACATAATTATAGTAGTCTGGCCTGTCTGTAAACGTTTTCAGCGGCTAATAACAAAGTGCATTCAAAAAATCAAAATAAAGACTACTCACCGATTATGTACTCGAGTATCAGATTCCAACCGATGACGAACGCGACGAATTCGCCGACGCCTACATAACTGTACACATAGGCCGACCCGGCTTTTGGCACCCGAGCCGCAAACTCGGCGTAACATAGGCCTAAAAATAAAACGCGTCTTACCGAATTAGACGGACCCAGACAAACTTACAACCAGATAACCGTTTCTGAATAATGTACCTACCCGCGAACGCAGACGCCACAGCGGCCATGATAAACGACAAGACCACCGCCGGACCAGCGTCCAGCTTGGCCACGGCACCCGCCAGCACGTACACGCCAACGCCCAGGGTAGAGCCCACGCCCAGAGCGGTCAGGTCCATCAGATTGAGCACGCGGGCCAGTTTGTCGTTGCCCGTCATGAGCTGGTCCCCATCGTCACTTTTCCGCCTGGATATTACTTGTACCAAGCTCTCTTTCTGAAATTACCATGTACAAACGATTAGCACACATTTCGGTACACAGAGGCGACAATGCGGTTGCCCGTTTAAAAGGATTAGCGCTGATCATTTTGCTGAACATTGAAGTTTCAAGACGGGAGGAAAGGTGGAGTGTAGTATTATTTTTATCCGCGCGCATTTCCCAACAGCACTTTCCCTCCGATCATAACTTTTAAACACTTATAACTTTAAAAATAGTTGTCCAAAACTAATAATTATAAACCAGTAAAAATTGTTAGTACATTATTCTAAATTAAAAAAGTTAATTAATTGCGTTGTCATTTAAGTTTCAAAAGTTGCTATCATAAGAATTAAGTTGGGAGGGGGTAAAAACAAAAACAAATGTGAAAAATTAAAATCACATTGTATAAAAACAACATGAAAAAAAATGTATTTATTTCTTATTAGACCCTGTATTATATATATATATATATATATATATGGGCCAAAACGCTAAATATGAACCAGCGTTTGAATGAACCCTCCGATTTTTTTTTGAAAATTACACTGCATGCCTGTTACGGTGAAAAGAATTTTTTTAAATTGTTTTTATTATTTTGAGAAGTATTTTTAAAAAAGTTTTTCAGTCGAGTCTGCAACCACGAAAGAGCATTTTCATGTCACGTTGAAGTACCGAATAAATTCATATTAAAGTAATACTATCTAGTGAGTAGTCAGTGGAAACTAAGTTTTAATTAAAAATATAACATAATCTAATAATAATGTGTTTACTATATTAAAATAAATTCGATTTTTAACATTTTTAATTAGATCAAACTTACATTTTTATTTTTATTTTACGATTTCAGTTCCTAATATGAGTCATTCGAATAAATACTAGAAACTACAAACCTATTAGTTAAAAAGTAAAATAATTATCGGCGTTACAACTTAAATGTTATAAAATAACATAATAATCTATTTAATTATTAAAACCCTGAAAAGCTTTAACACATTTAACGTTTTCAATATTTTCATAAACATAAAATATAATGCCTATATTAATATTGATAACTTTTTTTGAGTTACTTAATAATTATAAATTTAAATTTATTCGCTATCTATTGCCAAACTTGATAAACTTGTTAAGTATATGCTTAGAGAATGTTTTATCAGAATTAACATGCTCAAGAAACTACAACGGATACCTGTCGAATTTAATCATTATTATTTAAGATTGACGTCACGCTTGTTAAACTATTCGACAGTGGACTTATCAAGCGGTTCGATTAAGGCAATATTTTTTTTAAAACCTAGCAGCTTAATAAATAACCTAGTTTTACACTTAAAATAACATACGTATGGTGGCGTCCTCTTAATATCGTGAACAGGTAGGTATACTATAATCTAGTATATAGTCTTAGAGCTAACAAGTCACGTGATACCTACCTTACTAGTAGAATATAATCATTAAATAACATATTTTTCAGATAACATAAAAGCATTATCAATCTTTGTTTGCAATAATCTAGTTATACTACGGTCCCCTTAAATTAATAATAAATAATATCATTAGCGATTTTTTTTTTTTAACAACTCTTTTAGCCGATCATTCGTACTAAAATAAAATATATTTTTAAGTATAACTTACAAGACTTTCTCAGCTAGTCACACTTACACACATATAATATTATGTACTGTTTATTAAGTTATTAACACCGTGGCCGGTACGACACTCGGCCACAGGCGAAAAATATATTGTGAAAAATGTTTAGGAATGTTTTGAAAATATATTTGTTAGGTTTTTTTATCGCTGTCTGACAGACTTCAAACATTTAATTTTGTAATTTTCCTATATAAAGTCAACAGTTATGTGGTTTTACGACGGTAGCAATTTTTAATTATTATAATGATGTTTCCTAGAAAATCGTAACAAGGTTATATACCGGCGTTGCTCGTTAAATCTTAAGAGCTTGTAAACTCAACAACAACAAACGCATATGTAGTATACATAGGTACCTAAAATATCAGGTATTGTGGCTGTTAATGGAGAGTCTATTATTTACCTCCGATATGGTACAAGATCCGTAGTTGGCAGGCATGATCGATCTGTGGTCGGTGTGTTAACTTTTCAGAGCTTGTTTGGAATGATAATTATTATTGCAACGACACGGGGCAGAGTAGGGAAACGGATGGCGGCGTTTCCCTATTGAAAGACACATGATGTTATTTTTAGCATTGTTTTTTTTTTTTCGATAACAATACAAATCTAATTGTGGTTTTGTAAGAAAATAACAACACTTGTGCGCGATACAGCAAGAAAACCCGCTGGTAACCTTAGTGTGTGTTGACGTCGGATTCGGGTCGGATGTGAACTACTACTGCGGTCTGCCGGTCGGCTGATATTATGAAATTTTCCTTAAAAAAATCAGTTTTAATCACGTGCTATCGACCGATTTGTAATAATAACGTAATCGCTGGTCGATAAGTTATTCATTATTATTATCACATTGCTCCACGTAAACTCTCGTGTTTACTATTAAAAAAAGTAAAAATGATAATTATTGTCTTATCACGTGCACGTTGTCCTTGAACGCAGATTTGTCTCGGTAGCACATCGATTGCGTTGGAATAACGTCCGGAGACAAACTAATTTACCATGTTTCATTTAACTGTTTATCATTGCTGTTATCAAATATCGTTGTATAGCTGATTATAATATATTATTATTAATCACGACACGCCGTCGGCCGCTGTTAGATTGCCGCCAATGCAATTACATTGAATTTAATTAACTTTATTGTCGAGCGGCAAAAAAAAAAAAAGAAATCCGTTCGCCAAAATTAAAAAATTCCAAATGCATTTTATTAATTCTTAATTGATAATTGGTCTGCCAATTAATTAGACGAAAAAAAACCATAGACAGCGCCAATGTACTACGAGTGTGAAGCGCCAAGCAATTTGCTAAACAAATGATACCCTTGTCGCTCATCGCACACTTTGTTACTATTTTATTATAAACCTTAGACGTTTAGTGATTGAAATAACTGCAAAATCAATCGGTCGCAAAACAAAATATATAATAATAATTAACACTTTTCTATTTGTGTAGGTCGAAATTTCGCCCGATTTTCGGAGTAGAAAAGAGTTATATTAGTTTGAAATCAAATTTGTTTTATCATTTCTCAAACATGTAAAAAACATGCCCGTAGGACTTGAGAACGAGTAACTAAGCCGACTTACAGAAGTCCATCAAAAGTGTCGAGTGTGTTGAGTGTACTTAAATAGTCTGGGTTTTAAATTTACCACTTATAGATTATCTTTAGTGCATTTTTATTTGGCAATTATAATTATCACATAACTTATTTTATTATTTATTTTTACACGAGTACTATAAATAGTTTATTTAAAAACTATTAGTCACAAACTTCTTTAAAACCCATTTGATTCGAGTAAAATAATAAAATAGTTTTAACATAACGTACAAAATGTTTTTAATTGGTTTATAATATTGATTGTAATAAATATATATTTCTTTCTGTTGAAATCAGACGGTTATTATGGGATTTTTGGTTTTTTTTCACATAATATACGATAACAGCTGATAGTTCACTCGGTCGAAAACAAAGAAAATGTTTAAAAGGACAGATTAGATACTGGCGAAGATATCAGTGTAACCGCATGAATTAGTATACATTATTGTGCAGATATTCTACAATATTATTGTACAAGCTAAATCGTACTAACTGTTCTTTAATCAGCCTGCATAAGTAATTTATACAAGCACAGATATAACTAGTTATATAATAAACTAGATTGTCAAGTGTACATGCCGCCAATAGAGACAATTGAAGTTACCATTTTCCGGCATCTTTGTGGGAATTGAGAACCTTATCACATGAAAATATGTTTATCACAACTACAAGTTAAATTGATAATACAGAAACACAAAAATATATAATATTATTCTATACACGCATAAATCCCACAAAAATTGCGGACGTCGACTTCCATTCTTATCACTAGTTAGCAATCTAGTTGATTATATATATATAACCTGGAAATAGGTAATTAGTACTTATAGTGAAATAATTCTTGTGGTTAAATATCAGTCGACAACTAGGTAGTACAATTGCAGGTCAGCCGACAGGGGTCGGTGACCAACGACCATAGTCTATAATATTCTTTAGCTGTTGACACACGCATAACAGTGTTTTTTTTTTTGTGTCGATGATCGCGACTATCGACAGCTGTTGACCGTTAATACTTAATTGTGTTGAGTTGTGCCAGTGTGTATAATATTGATTTGGCCGAGATACAGAGGGTTGTGCCCTTTTAGGTAGCTTTCATAGCTTCGAAAAACATAAAAACAAAAACTTGTAATAAGCTCGCGTTTTATATTTTAGGTCGAGAAACACAGGCGCCCGTTATGGATGTGTCTCACACACACACACACATACAACTCCACTACTATGTTAAAAGCCTTTGGAATTATTATCATATTAATGTGGTGGTCAATCGATGAACAATTCTGAGTACTTCACGCTCGAGTGAGAATTTAAAAAAAAAATTGTTAACTCCGATAAAACGGAAATATTTACATCCACGAAAATATTATCAATTTTGTTTTTTGTAAAAAGAAAAACAAACGGTTGTTAAACGTCACGAAAATGATTACATTATTAATCCGAGAAAAAATAACCGATATTGTAAAAAGCAAACAGACTGTAAACTGATATTATAATACAGTACAAGTAATATAGTTTTAATCGTTTTAGGAAGTATCTATCTACCTACTTGGAGTATTATTTCATTAGAATTTTAACCACATCCAGCGACTTTGGTCGGTGAAATTAACAATATTATCGCACCCAAGCAGGTCATAACAAATATTGTGTCACTGTGTCTAGTCTAGACGAATCGTTTACACAATCACAGCCCAGTTAACGTCTATGGCTTTGATGCCAAAAGCCGGTTGATAATATTATTATAATTTTTGCCGACGAACCAGCTTACACGTGTAGAATATTTTTAAAGAA